CACAATCTTACTTCATTCAATAAACTTTCACAATACAAAGAAAGGGAATTAAGCATCCTCGACCACTAATAAAACATAATTTAAGCTTAAATAAATATAAGATAGATAATTCATCGCGAGAGATGGACAACGAATCCAAGACGTGCCTCGAATGCGTCAAACATGTCTTCTCGGCAAAGCCAAAAATCCTCAAGGTGGTCACTTTTAGGTGTGACGTTGAAATCGAACTCCTAACTCCGGTACACGTCAAGACGACCCCGGTTGCTCCTTTTGGTCCCGAAAATACGGCTACACAAGAAAGCAGATCGTTACGGAAATTCTTAGGGGTTCTCGGCGCTAAGCTCGGGAAACACACACATTCTCAAAGAGAAATGTGAAGATACGACCGCTCTCAATGAGAGAAAAGAGATTACAGGATTTGAGAATTCAGAAAACTTTAGATTTTTCAAAGAAGAGAAATCAAATAGCTCAAAAGCTAATGAAATTTTTGCAAATCTGTTTTTTAACAATCTGTTGGTTAGCCCAGAATTAGTGAGTGCTAGATTCCAGATGGGCCTCAACAAACTGGGTTTAGAGAAGCCCACATCTTCATCACACAGACTGGGTCTCACCACCATGGGCCTCAATATAATGGGCTCTGAGGAGCCCATGACCTTTTCACCTTGGCCAAGCGTAATCTCAAGCTACCACGAAGGCAAGACGAGCGATGTTGAGGCAAGCGACTGTCGGTGAAGTTTTCCGGTATGCAGCACGGCGGTGGTCCGGTGGCTTCATCTACACCCAGTTAAGGTCTCAGGTTAGGCAAGTTGGCTAGAGTATTAAGGGATTCAACATCGGCAATGAGCCAGATCTCGGCCGAGGAGGAGATGGAGATAGCCGGCGTCGGCTGTGATTTTATTCCCGGTGGAGTAGAAGTTGAAAATCTGGGCTGGAAGTTGGGTTCGGACCTTCGTATTGGTGCGACCAACTTGACCGGCACGGGAGAAAACGGTTACTGTTCGAAGGGC